CTCCGTGGCACGACGCAGGCTATCTTGCTGGATATACATCTCTTTCTCGATGGTTATCTTAGATTCGTTGAGTGTCTCATATTTCTGAGTCAACTGTGCAAGATTGTGTTCGGAGAGCATTCGCACGTCGTCTCGTGACTGGCGTTCTCGGCTAAGGTCGGCTTGAGCCTGGAAGAGCTGGCTCTTGAGATCATTTACCTGTTCCTCTAGCAGCTTCCTGCTTTCTCCAGCCTCGGCGTCCTCAGATCTCTTATTCTCAAGCAGATTCTTGAGGTCCGCGGCTTCGCGTTGAAGTTGAGTCTGTTCGGAACGCATGGCATCTCTCTCCGCTTGTACCTCACGGAGTCTGGATTGCATGCAGTCGTGGCGTGCCGCAAGGGAAGTCTTTTCGGACTCGACGCTTCTCTTCTCTTCCTCGTGCTTCTGAACGTCATTTCGGAGAACTGCAAGCTCGCTCTCCTTTCGACGAAGGAGATCTTCGTAGCCCGTGGAAGTACTTGAGAGTTCGGAAATCTGATCACGAATTGACTTGTTCTCTTCAGAGAGATCTCGGATCTGTTTCTTGGATTTGTCGAGCTCCTTAGAAGTGTTTGCGAGTTTGATATCAAGATCTTGGTCGGTTTTCAACAATTTCGCTTCCAGATCTTGAAGCTTACGATCTTTCAAGCTGAGGTGGCTTTGGAGCATCTTGATCTCTTGACCCAGTTCCTGAATTTGGTTGTTCTTCCCGGAGGACTGGGCCTCGGTTTCAGAAAGCTTGCTATTGAGTTCCTGGACTTGAGATTGCAGACTGTTCTTTTCTGCCTCGAGTTGCTGAATGATCAAACCGGCCTGTTCCAGCTGGGTAATCCGGAGTTGCAACTGGTCGTCGATTTTCCTCTTCGCATCAACCAATTCATCCAGTTGCTCTTCAAGACCTTCCTGGTCTGCAATCGCACCGGCAAGCTTCTCAGCGAGCTCCACTTCCCGGACTTGCAGTCGCTTGAAAATTTCCTCCTTGTCCAATGCAAGTGCACGCTCACTCTCCAAAGTATGCTGTATCTTCTGAATCTCGATCTCCGTCCGACGTCTTTCTTCGTCCAGCTTGTTGCGATCGGCAAGATCCTGTTTCATCTTGGCTTCAAGTTGTTGGATTTTGTCATCACGTTTTTTGACTTCCTTCGCGTTCCTCGTGTCGCCCAGTAAGGGCTTCATTCTTGAGAACATGCGCCACCATGGGCTCCCCTTCAAATCTAGGTAAGCGTGAAAGTTTTGTTGGATGATCCTGGTTGCCTCCGCGCGGTAGAGCCGCTTGTTGGAAATGCGACGCTGAACAAATCCTCGTGCCACAGACTGGAACTTGGTCATTATAGTTCGGATGAGTTGGTCACGTTTCTCTTCTAGGTCGGCTAGAACACCTGCTCTGAAGAAAACTTTGGTGCGACCGAGCCGGTACCAGCCACGATCCATACCGAGCTTTTCCAGCATAGTCCGAGCAATACTCTGTCCCTCCAGGTACCCCTTCGGCATGTTCTGGCAAAGAACTTCATAACGCTGTCGGAACTCAGTGAATGGCAAGCGGTTCGGAAATCCAGTACGAGCAATTCTGATGCCTTCCAGCACACCGTTGCATCGCAGCTGATCCAAAACCAATGGAGCGTGCAGCATCTTTGGCCGCTTCTTATGATTTGGTAGGATACAACGGACGAAATGAGGGTGGGTTGAGTGGAGCTGGGCCATCAAACTAGACAGCCGTTCCTTGTGCCCTTGGGCAACCGTGCGGAACAAGCCCTTCTTGACGCGGCTTCTGGGATGGTTGCCACCTCCATCCTCCTCTGAGTCTGCGCAGTCGGAGAAAAGATGTGCTACGTGAGGGGCTTTCGAGGTGGCCAGCAGACGTGTGATGTTGTCGTTGAGCGGATCCTTGTTCTTCTCAAGCCAATCACCCGTGTTGTACTCAACTTCTGCGGCGTAATGGGTGAGAATGAAGCCCTGGTTGAGACGAGATGCACGGTACTTTGGAGTCTTGCGGTCCCAAAGACCATGGAGCTTTTCCGTGAATGATTTGTCCGTTGCTTTGGGCATCACACAATCCTCATCAAGGCAAGAGAAAATGCCAATGGGGTTGGTCAACTCGATAAGGTCAATGGTTGGCTGCAGGTCCTTTCCGAAGTCGATGAATTGCCATTCAATCTGTTCCCTCGCATATTCCTCTTGTTCAAGAACAAACATATGGTGGTTGAAGAATTGCTGAAGCTTCTCGTTCGTGTAATTGATGCAGAGTTGCTCGAAACTGTTGTTGTCGAAAATCTCAAATCCAGCAATATCAAGGACTCCAATGAAATAGTTGTCGTCGCTGGCCATCGACCGACCAAGCTGCCCGTTGATTCTAGCGACAAGATTTCCGAATCCGCGCTCATAGATACCCTTTGAGAGGGCATCTAGGGCCATGCGGACCTGTTCTGGCGACTGGACCTTCTCCACCCATTCCCGGCCGGCCTTCACGCGTGGATGTAAAAGGCCCTTGACAAAGTCTTCGGCTTCAATACCAAGAAGGTGGCAGGCCTTTTCCATGCTAGAATATCCCTCAGGTGCCAGAGTCGCCTGGTCTGCGCGCACACTTGCCTTGCCGACACTCACATTTCCCAGGTGCAAGACAGCAGCGACGGTCCGCAGAATACAGAGCTGATCCTCCTCATTGAAGTCCATCACATGGAAGGCTTCAATCAACGAGTTCCACTCTTCCTGGTCAGAGACGCCCACAATGGAGTCATTTCCATCTCTCGTATAGGCAAAATCCTCGATCTGAAGGTCCGATAGAAGAAGCTTCTCGCGTGTTTTGCGGTCTGCGCCCTGGAGAAGCTGATAGAAAACGTGATAGTTCCTCTCGTTGGGGTTAGGCTTGACGACTCTTGATTTCTCAAGCAGATACCAATCGATCCAAGCTCCAGAAATTTGGCCTGAGCGCGAGAACTCAATGCGAATAAACTTTCCGAACCGAGAGGAGTTGTGATTTCGGACTGTTTGGGCGTTACCAAAGGCTTCGAGAATAGGGTTGGCCCGCAGAATCTGTTGCGAAAGTCCAGTGAGTTGCTTCGCTCCAGAGCGGCCATAAGGCGTATCAGAGGTGGCGACAGCAGCGAGGTACTGGATAACCTTCTTCGTGTTTTCTGTCTTACCCGCACCAGATTCTCCTGTTACAAGGATGCTTTGATTCTGACCCTCCTCGACTAGATTCCGGAAGGCTTCATCTGCCATGGCGAAAATATGCGGTCTGGTCTCCTCTCTCCCGCGACCTTTGTACATTTTGATGTACTCATTGGTGTAGATTGGTAGTGGACAGTACGGGTTGATTGTTACCAGGAAAAGTCCAGAATAAGTCTATGGAGTCAGCAAGTCAGTTACAATCACGGATTTATGCGTATTTCCGGGGTTGACGAACATAAATTAAGTCTGACTGATATCTGGTGTGCAGGTTATGCACCACAGACGCCTCGTTGAGATGTGTAAGTTCTGCCATATCATCCGCCTTGTCAAACTTGGCAGGATTGACCTTGTCGACCTGATCCGCATCTATCTCTCGTTGCTATCCCAGCGTCAGCGCATTTTCTGTTCTTAATGGGATTACATCCTTACGTCGCCATCGTCGGTCTGCACCAACAGCTGCCCTCCTTCGGATTCCTCCAAAACCAGCCCCCGGACGAATGCCTTTTGAGGGTCTCGTAGCCACACATATTTGTTCCCTGAGAAGTCATTTTCCCCTTCGAGTCCACGAATCTGATCCGCTCCCCGCCGTAGTTCCTCGGATTTGATAAAACTTGGCGCAAATGTTCCGGAGGAAGGACTGTTCTTTGCAGAGTTCGATCGCTCACGATTTCCGCTCAGTGATAATGTTGGCGACAACTGTGACACAGACGTGTTGCGCAGATGACCTCTCGCTGACTCCAGCCCATGGGAGGGTGTAATGATGGCCGATTTGGGTCTCGCCTGCGGTGAATGTGTTCCTTGTGAAGACGGTGGACGAGCAAATAGACTCGCACGCTTCGGCGAGCCGTTCAACTGGGAGGGAAGCATGGCGATCGTGGTTCAATGGCACATTATTTGAGTGCAGCAGTCGTTATCATAGCCAAGAGTACTTCCCCAATCTCAGTTCTAGGTGTAGTGCAGGTGAGTGTAATAGCACACACAGGACAGAAGAAATCAGGTGGAATACAATTAAGACAGGTGTGAAGTTGACGAAAAGTTGGAAGAAAAGGCAAGATGTTCGAAGTGACGCACCCCAATGTCCATGATGTTTGTTTACTCTGCGTTCCTCGGGCGCCCGCCGATCGCAGGTGGCCCGTGTGTATGTCACGTGAAATACTCGATCATTTTTGTTAATGAAGGCGCTTAGACCTTGGAGGCGGCCGCGTATCTCAATTCTCCTCGAATTCAACACCTCTATCCATCTCTTTCTCTTTCCATAGGCTGGAATCTGCAGTCGCTTGGACCTTTTTTTATCTCTAGGTCGCCATCAGATCACTATCGCCGCTCAAGGTGACCCCTAAATTGAAGTTCTGCGTATCCTTTTCCCGAAGGCCTACCGGTATCTCTGAACCTACTTAATCCTTCAAGACATCATGAGATTTGGTCCTTGAAATCGCGCGATCTCTTTAACTCCAGTCTTTCGCTTTTGAGAATCGTAGAGAATACATCTCTTCCATCCCTGCACACGACAACACGACATCATCATGTCTGACCAACCTCCCTCATACGGTGGCCATCCACACTATGCGCAGCAATGGCCTCCTGCATACCCCTCAGTTGTTCCCCCGAACTTTCCGGTCAGTTCAAACTATTCTGAAATCCGTCCGTCGCCGGCGTCAAATCCTAGGCCGACCTTCGACTATAACATGGCAAGTGTCAACGCGAATTCGCGAATCCCAGGTGCAAATGGTCCTGGGAACTCAGCATTCGTTCCGCCTCAGTTCCCCTTCTTCAGCCACTTCGATGCGTCACAATTTCCGCCTCATTTCCCCCCAATGCCGTTTGCTCCGATGAGCTATCCCCCGATGCCAACGGGGTCCTCAGATCCCCCAATGCCGTATCACGGTTTAGACGGACATGTCTCACACCAACGGTCAACGTCAGCCGTTCACCCGAAAGACGTCCCAGTTGACGCAGATAATCACCGCGAAGAAGGCGAAGTTAGTGAGGAATCGGATGAAAGGTCACTACAACCGACGACGCGTAAGGCTACGCGCCAGCATTTGGATCTGGAAGAAGGAGAAACGATATCTTCTAGCGCACAGTCCGCTAGGAGTAGTGGGTCACGTACTACTCTCTCACTTCGCCATGTTTAGTTCTGTTTTACTAATAACATGCAGCATACAACCCTCCTTTGTCAGTCTCAGCAGACGCAAACATGGCCCTCCATGCGATGCAGCCTCAGCTGCAAGACCTACCTGCAACTGCCCCAGCTCCTCCACCTTCAAAATCAGCGGCGCAGCTACGAATTCAAGCCCAAGGCGCTTTGCTTAGCCTGGCGCCCCATAATATTCGCTACAATGAACTGGTCGCGGAGGGTATCGACCCAGTGATCTTAAAACGCCTTTATGAAGAAGTGGGCATCAAGGTCACCACATCATCTGGGCAAGGTCCACCAGTTCCTGAGAAGGCCTCCGCGGCGGCCGAAGTTGCAAGCAAGGGACTAGGATCTAACAAACCAGCTGAGGTGCCCAAGGTAGCGAACGAGAGTCACAGCATCGCGAAGTCCGATTTGCCAGTGCCCTCACCTTCTGCCCCATCCGTCGCCCCTTCTTCCAAAGCTGGCAAGCCTCTAGAGCGAAAAGAACTCATCGCCCGGATGCTAGCTGAGAAAGCTGCGAAGGCGACATCCAAAGAGACTTCACCAACTGGCAGTGCGAAATCTCCATCTGCAGTACCAGTCGATGAAACCCGTCCGGTTCGGAAGGAAAATCTCATGAAGGAGAAGAGCAAAGCCCAGACGGAGTTGGCAAGGCAGCGAATTGAAGAACTCAAAAGACAGACTCTACTGAAGACCCAGAAACTGGCTCAGGCAAATCTGCCGTCAGCCCAGTTAGAACCTCCGGTGCCAGCTATTCAACACCCGCTCCCTCTTCGGCCTCCTGTGCCTGAATCTCATCGCTCAGCTGGGCTTCCAGGCCTCCTCATGACTGAAATGGAGCAGGAGCCAACTGGAAATCTTGCATCTGAGCCGGTACAAATGAACGACGTTGACGCAACAGCGATGTCTCAAGCAACCCAACGCAAGCGGCCTCGCGCTTCCGATTTCGATGAGCCAGTTGCACCTCCGAAGAAGCATTTTAACCCGCCTGCGACTCGGTTCGACCCTAATGATAAACTCATCATTGCAATCAGCGACGATGAATCACTCTACGGCGATGATGAGGACGACAAAATGGAGTTGGCTTCGAGCCCAGAACAGGAACAAGCCCCGATAGTGACCTCGACCATCCCGAAGCCTAGTGTCCAATCAAATCCTCCTGCCGCCCGGGCTTCGACAGCTACACCACAAGCACCTTCTAGTCTCAGTGATCAAGGAGACATTCGACTTAAAGACATGGAAATTCAAGCTATGCGCCGCAAGATTGCGGAGCTGGAGTTAAGAAGGAAATCGAAGCTCGCTGCCAGCCGAACGCAGTCACCTCGAATCCTGGATGACTCTGGGGCATCATCATCCGGTGGACAATCCAGTGTGGTCCCAGCTAGTTCTGAAGAAGGTAAAGTTCTTTCGGTCTTTCTCTCTCTCTCTGTGTGTGTGCATTCTCGGGTATTTCCGAGAGAAGACTTTTGTTCCCACTAACCATTACCCAGATTCTTCAAAGACTAAACCGACGACGGCCGCCCCTGATACGCCCATGCCGGTTGCCCCGGTTGCTCCGGTTTCTCCCGTTGCCCAACTAGACGCACTAGCGGAAGGCGCTGCCACCCGAGAACCGCTTGAAGAAGCCTATGTTGATGAAGTGGCAAACGGTGTAATCGATAGCACCGCAGAGACATCGGCTTCATTCGAGTCCGATTCTGCTGGGTCGGCTATGCAAGAATCTGATGATAGCAGCAGTGATAGTTCCGATTTGTCCAGCGAGAGTGAGGAGGGACCTGCTATCTCGCCAGCGCAAGCCGACGTCGACACTGCTACTGGGCCGTCATTCTCAGGGCCTATGGAGATTGACTCTTCAGAGCGATCTGCGTCTCGGAGCTCGCCTTCTGCCATCACCCACCCTAGTGCAACTTCTGCCGATGAATACGTTTCTCAACATCACCTTAGCGAACTTTCCCAGCGTGAAATGTCTACGGAGTCCGACGGTTACGAGCCCCCAGAGCCTGATGCTGAAGCACAGTCTGAAGGCTCGAGTTACAGCCCTCCTCCATTCAGCCCCGCTCTTTCCGGTTTCGTAGAAAACACAGCAGCCTCGGCACCATCATTTGACTTGACTCAAGCTGATGAAGAACTAACCAGCACACCTCAGGTGTCAGACCCATTACCTCGGCCGGATTTACAGGTTGGCGCTCCTGGCGTATGGACAATACCCTTCTAGAGGAAGTTTCTATTGACCTCTGACTAACGCCTATCTAGACTGAAGCATCCGCGGCCATTTCGGAGCAAAGATTCACTCCGTACACCAGCCCACTGCGAACTTTCAAGGCTTATCGCTACCACCCGCATTATACCGAAGACGTTCCGAGTGGCTACCGCTCGCTAACTTACAGTCATAATATTGATTCCATGAAATACATGTGTCCATATGAGTTGGCCGGGGGTGTCTGCAATGACCGATCCTGCGAGTTTCAGCATCTTCGTGACATGACTCTAAGCGGTGCGTCGACGTGAACAACGTGCAACACCCCACCTCGTTCTTGAGCTCCCCCACCGGCGTATTGCACTATCTAGTCTGTTTTCACTTTCTTTTTATTGCTCTACTGCCTTCATCTCTGCCTCTACTTCCTTTCCTTCCACCCCATCTGTCATATCTTTTTTACCCCGTTCGAATGCTGACCACAGAGCCGTTAACCTCGACAGACGACAAGATTCTTGTCCAGATGGGCTCTGTCCGAGAGGGTCAAACCGAAGAAGAAAAAGAAGAATATCTCGCTGGTCTGAAAGAGATTATCAACGACTTACGGCGTGACAAGGTGAAAGATTTCAACACTGTGGCCTCCGAGATAGCCGCATACCGTAGGCGCTTCCTCCAAGACCCGTCGCGTGTCTTGTCCCTGTAACATTCTCCCACCCTCATTCATTGGACCCTTTCAGAGTTCTCTCCAGGTGAGCTGTCTTCCATCAGTCTTATGAACACCATCATCGAAGTTCTTTCGATGGTGGGGGAAAAACATCATCATACCACATGGACTCAGACAATCCTCACCATGGCCATGACGCCATCTTTCAATACAATATCCCTTGCCACTGCCTATTTTCAGGGCTGTCGCGTTCATGACCTGGCTTTTCCTCTGCATCATTAGCCGATCGGCGTTTTCTTCCCTGCATTCCAATTGCATTTGATCTGCGCGGTTGGGGGCCTCGTGCTCTTTGGCGCCACCTTTTTCTCTTTACTTTTCTTTTCTTGTTCACTCTACGCTCTGGGCCTTTCATCGCCCAATGACCCGACAAAACGGCGTTGGGGATCTGCATCCCAGCTGCTGGTCGTAACTTTGGCAGTTTCAGCAGTTTCAGCCCTGAGGGAGCTCCGGCTTCTGCTAATCTGCACCCTGAAGGGTACGGTTGTACCATTAGAATCCCGGCCGGTTTTCGCAGGATATTCATAGCAATCAGTCAATATGTATTCTTTTCCTACCCGACTGTTGGTCTTTCTGTATCTTTGATAGTAATGAAATGAGCAACAATTCATCAACTAAAGAATTAAGTGAGCCATGTTAACTAGTTACTTGGAATTTAGCAACCTACCCGCGTACGCGTGATCCCCCTGCCGCAGAATGATAAATCAAAACCTCCCTTCGTGCTCAATGCCCCGATCATTGTTTTACCTAGCCGCCTGAATCTGATACCCGCTGCACATTGATCTCCCTAGTGAGCCGAGCCATACGAACTCATTGGAGTATTTGTGCCCCTTCCTTACCTCAAAGCTTGACTCGTCCGCTCTTCTCAACCCTCTCATTTCAAGGAAAACTCTCTCTGTTTCGCTACCGACCCACGAGTGCACCCTATAGAACGATCATGTTGCCGTCGAAGTGGACATCCGCCCCACGAGTATTTCCGACTTCGGGGTTCGATTTATTTGGCCTGTCCTCAAAGATCGAAGAGGAAACATTATCGATGTATTCCCCGGAGAAATACTATCCGGTCCAACAAGGGGAGCTCTTCAACAGCAGGTATCAAGCGCTCGCCAAGTTAGGTTATGGAGTTACCTCAACCGTTTGGTTTCCCCGTGATTTGGTGTGAGTTTAGTTTGAAACCGCTTCAGAGCAGTTCAAGCCATTCTAAGTCTGAGGAACTAGTGAGTCCACATATGTCGTCTTGAAAATCTACATACTGGGTCAAGAAAGGGAGCATGAGTTGAACATCTATAACCATATTGACTCTGTGAAAACGGATCATCCTGGTAGGAGGTTCATTCGCAAGCTGTTTGACCAGTTGTTCGTGGAGGGTCCTAAGGGTCGCCATGTCTGTCTAGTCCACGAACCTCTTGGAATAAATGCAACTGAGCTGCTGCGACACATCCCCGGACGGACGATGACACTCGAAGATATGAAACCTGCTATCCGCCAACTCCTTGTTGTCTTGGATTTCCTGCCTTCTGTGGCCCGTACCATCCATACTGGTATTGCCTGCCCTTGTCAAAACATCTCTCAAGCGTAAAACAATGGAACTAACTCCGAAGAAGATCTCCAGTTGAAAAACCTACTCCTTCCTACGCCTTCGCCACGTGCACTTCTGATTTGAAAAACGCGAAATCCAAGTACCAACAGCAAGGAAGGTCCTCAAAGACAGAACAATCTATATTACCTCGCAGTTTCCGGCAGGTGATGGGCTCCCTTTGCTTAGTGATTTCGGAGAAGCCCGGTTTGGCGACGAGGAACACAATGAAGATATTTTGCCAGACCTATATCGTGCCTCTGAAGTCATCTTGAAGTCGAATTGGGACTACAAGGTGGACATTTGGAGCGTTGCCATGTTGGTAAGTGAACACTTTCCCCCAGAATTTATCCTGCCTATAACCTTGTCAATACTTATGTGTGTTTGAAGACCTGGGATATCGTCAGCCCTCATGCCATAATTCAAGGTGAAACCAAGGACGGAATCTTCGACGACAGAGCCCACGTCACGGAACTGGTTGCACTGCTCGGCGCTCCGCCACCGGAGTCCATGGAAAAGAGACACCTTAGTTGGGTATTTTGGGATGAATCCGGTAACTGGAAAAACCTGTACCCGATTCCGGATCGAACTCTTGAAAAACCGGCCGCCGACGTCCAAGGCGGGGACGTAGAGGGATTCCTGTGATAGTTGCGATTGGCCTTGCAATGGAATACTGGGGACCGCCCGACAGCCCTGGAGCTCCTGATGGACCCGTGGCTGATGAGGGGGCTAGATATCAGGAAAAACCAAACCGAGGGCTCCGAGGGAAAAGCTCAGAGCTGATATCCCACTACCTGCTCAAACTTGGCTGGCTTGGATTATGTATGCATAAGCTCTGAGTCAATCCATCATCTGAAATAAACCATGTCTGTCTAAAACATGCTAAAATTATTGACTCATTCATGCATACATAGACAAGAGTAGAACAGACCAGAAAATAAAATAATACTCTCGACGAAGTTCTGCAAAGAGCTTAGCCAAATACCCCACATCAACCCATATATGTGCCAGATACATATTTTCAGCCGTGCACCATCTGAGCTGAGAAATGTAAGAAAAGAAATTTTGAAAATCAAGTCTAGACCTTGAATAAGGGGCCTATTTCTTCAAAGTAAGAACAAGGAAAAGATGCGGGTTCGGATGCTAAGTATAGCGTGCAGAGTCCGGTCGGGGAGATGGGGGCCAGGGATGGTGTGACTGTTTCAAGATTCAGAGGTTGGAGAGATTCAGAGATAATAATAATAAAAGTAATAGAGTGCATACGGTGAGCTTGATAATTTTGATATTTTCTCTATAATCCAAGCAATGTGACCATGACACTTTTTTTCCTATTCCAGAAACAGATCTATACGAGTTGAGTCAGGGCAAGGCAGACCAGCGGACAGGATATCTTGGATTCAACAGATTCTTGCTGATTGGCCCGGGGCTTCCTCGCTTTCGGTTGTGTTGCTCGTTTTGTATTGATATTGCGGAGTACATTCCTAGGTCTACATATGTATATAGATGCCAAGGTGCCGCGCCCAGCGCCCGAGATGGAAGTCGACCGGGCAAAACATAAGCGGAAGGAACCAAGAAAAATGCTACCAGGCGGGATCAGTTGTGGATATTGTAAGTCGCGAATTTGCATGCAACATATACAGGAGTCCCAGGGTGGGACAACAAAAGGGACAAAGCCAAGACCCGTCCTGGGGCGCACAGTCCAGCACAGCCTCAACGTCCAGAATGGAGGTGGGACCTCGGGAAAATGCTATAGTTGGGAGGAAATAGGGAAACAGAGAAATGGGAATAACATCATACAACATGCCATAGGGGGCTGAGTCTATGTCAGAGTAAAAGAAATAAGCCCGTAAATAGGTAAAGACTACACAGCCAAAAAAAAAAAAAAAAAAAAAAAAAAAAA